TTTTTATTGAATAAATAAATCAAAATAAATGGTAATACAGATTAATACTACTCGTCTTAAATAAGTTTATTTTATGTTAAACTAGTTATTTCAGTATTATGTGTAATACCTTTATTATTTATGTTACTTAAAACTCTTTTTCAGGTTTTTCATATTTCATTTATTTCATAGCTATTTAATTGATTTGTTATATGAATATATTAGTCAACTTTTATTTAGTTATTATTTTTATAACTTAAATATCGTTCAGTGTTTATTAATGATTCAACTTTATTAATTGATAACATTTAAAATGAAGTATTAATATATATTAATTTTTTTTTTGATTGATTTTTATTGAAGACTTTACAACATTTGACAATGAGTTATTCGATGTATCAATTATAGTTATTGAAATAATTATATGTTTATATTGTTTAGTCATAACTATTTTATTGTCTCATTTTCTTCTATTTTGAATATTCTTTAAACTACTCAAAGTATTAAATAAACCTCTAGATTCTTGGTTATTCATTTTTGTAATGCATGACACATGAAATAAATATATTTAGTTAAGCGCTTAGCATTTTAACTTTTTATTAACTGTCAAGTACGTCATTAATAAGTACTTAGTCAAATTATTTAACAATTAACATAATTCAATTCACAACCATAGCATTTAATTTTTTTTCAATTTTCTTATCTTATTCAAGAAAATAATTTTTTTACTATTTATTATTCTAATTATATTAATTAAATAAGAAATTATTTGTATTATTTGTATTAATTTTCATTCATAATGGAATGATATATTATTTTAATATTTAAACAATATCTATTTCACATATTCGAGTAATATTATGATAGATATGTCATCAAAAATAGTTGATATTTATTTATTTTGATTTTTCACTGTACAATACCTTCTTTCAGTTAAATACAATGGCACAATGTAATATATTAACCATTACTTTCATCATACTAAAAACTAAAATCATAAAACATAAATAAATATTCATTAATAAAACATTTCAGAAGAGAATTTCTACAAAAATAAAATTCATTGAAAATAATTTTAAGTGAATAATTATTCAATATATTGAAGAAATGAATAATTTTTTTTTGTGGAAAAATATATACTAATAAATAAAATATTAATAGACGTAATGTTCATAATTTATTTTCATTCAAACATTGTTATGAGTTTATTTAACTTGTTATGAGTTGATAAATGAATGAAATATATTTTATTAAAATTAAATGTATTAATTTTAATTATAGATATTTTTATTATCAAAAAAAATATTTATTATCGGTGACTCTTTTGCTTCATTGTTTTTTACTAGAATTATTAAGAAGACACAATTAGACAGTGAACTTCTTTTTGTACATTATAATATATTTTGATTCAAATAATAAATTATTATTTATAGTTATTTGCTTTCGTTCTTATCTAAAAAATGAAAATTGTTTTGATATTTTAGAATATATCAGAAATAAAAAATGAATTTATTATATTTATATTTGGTTTTCAACTATTTATTTTTAGAAATAATATAATTTTAAGTAAATACGAAAAAGTTAATACTATTAACAGTCTTGTGAATGGTTATTTTAATATTTTAATTCATATTGAAATGAAGTAGTTTTGAAAAAATTGTTTCTGTTTTCATTATAAAAGGTTATATTGAAAAAGGAAGAAGTATAAAAGAAAGAAGAAAAGGGAAGATTAAAATAAAAGAGTTTTCTATGAAAGAATAATCAATTTGAAATTTCTGATTTTAACAAGAAAATACAAAGTAAAATCGAGAAAGTATTTTTGTAATAAAATAATAAGAAGAAATGGTTTATAAAGAAAATTGTAAGTATAACAAGAAAATTCAACGTAGAAAAAAAAGAAAAAGAGTTTTAGAATAAAAAGGAACTGTTAATTAAAAAGTTGGATAAACGACTTTAAAATGGTTGTTCTGTTTTTATTTATTGTTAGCCTTTATGCTTCAAGTTGCCAAAGACCTATTACAATTCAAGAAAATTTTGATGATGTAATTGATTTGAGTTACAAAGGAGAAACCAATAAATGGAGTTGCCAACAAGTTGACTCTGAGGTACATGAAGACAAGTCAGTAATATTTCAATATACACCTTCTTCTAACAAAATGATTGAAATATCTACATGTTATGCACAAACAAATTTTGCAACAAGAATTATTATTGGAAGTTCTTGTATTGATGATGTAACTTCTTCTTGTGTTGGAGCTAATGATGGAGACCCTAATGGGCTTTGTGATGGACATAGATCTAAATTGATTGTAAATGTAAAAGCATCTCAAAGTTATTTTATTATTGTTTCTGGAGTAACTAGTCATGACAGTGGATCATTTAGATTAACTGTAAAAGAATATATTAATCCTACTAGTACTACATGTTCTAATGCATTAAAAATTAATAGTTTCCCAGAAACTGTTGATGCAACTATTTTATCTAGTTTAACTTATAGTGGAAATTATCATGGACTTTTGAGAGGTATGTGGTTTAAATTCAATGCTACACAAAATACTCATGTTATTGATACATGTAATAAAAATACTCAATACCCAACAACAATTTATCTTTATAAAAAAGTAACTACTTCAAATGGTTGTATGGGTGATGCACCAATTGCAGAAGCTACAGAAGGATGTGGATCATTTGCACGTTTATACTATGACAAATTTATTGTTGGAGAGGAATATTATGTATTTGTACATTTTACTGGAGACACATCAAAATCACCTGTTTCTGGGTCATTTGAAGTTACATTCAGAACAAATGGTGGAGATAATTACAAATGTACTAATTCATTTTCAATTTCCAAAAAACCATTTAATATAATTATGGATATGTCTGGATATACTAAAAGTACCTCACCTTGTTCTCTCAACACTCAACAAACTGGAATGTATTTTAGTGTTAGAGGAGATGGTAGAAGATATGCTATTCATACTTGTTTCACTCAAAGTTCAGGATCTGATCATACGTCACTTGAACTTTATTCAAATGGATGTGACAATTGTGCTGAAGTTAGCTCTAACACATGTGGTAATGATGCATTAATTAATGTATTCCTTGAAGCAAATCAATTGTATAGATTTAGAGTAGTTTGTACTAATCCACAATGTAAAGTTAATGTTGGGGTAATGCAAATTGATTTTAAAGATAATTATCTTTGTGAACATGCCAGACTTTTAAATATAACAACAGAAGGAGATCAATTCACTCAATACCTTATTGGAAGTAATCAAGAAAGTTATACTGTATTTGATTGTAAAGACAATAAAAAGAATCTTAAAGGAGGGTGGTATGAATTAAAAGCTGAAACTGAAGATATGAATATTATGCATGGAGTTTATACTTTTAAACCAGAACAATATACTGGATATCTTGCTACTCTAAAAGGGTGTTCAGAATGTATTAAATCTACTTTTGACTTATATGCTACTTCTGTTGAAAACATTAAAAAGGGAGAAAGTTTATTTGTATTTGCTACAACTATCCTTCGAGAAGGAAGTGGTAATGAGTTTGGTACTTTTATGTATTGGGCTGTAAAAAGAGATACTAAAGGAACGACATTTGATAAAGCATATGAAGTAACAGTTCCTTATTCAGGTATTTTTGGTATTGGAACTCAATTACCTGTTCAATGTTCTCATCTTAGATTCCCTAATTTACATTCATTCCCAGCAATAATTCTTAAATATGAACAACCAGAAGATACTACTTATGTTGTATCAACTTGTGGAAGTGAAACAGTAACAAGTACTATGATCGAAGTTTTATTTACTCAAAATAATGGAAATAGAGAATGTTATAATACAAATGATATAAATGAATGTGGATATGGTACTACGGTTACTTCTTCTGGTAAAGGTAGTAAATATGCACTTGTTGGTATTAACCCAGATGTTTCAGTAGAAAAAACAGTTACTAGAGTTAATATTTATGAAAATATTGCTGAAGAGAGTTCTAAATGTAGTAATGCTGAGACAATTACTATTCCAAGTACTTATTATTCATATACAGAAAAGGCACATTCATCAAGAAGTAAATGTGGAATTGTTGCTGATGGACTAAAAGGAAAATGGTTTGTATATACTCCAAAAGAAACAGAAAAAGTATTAATACAAACTGATGATGTTACTACTTTTAATACTCAAATTGGTGTTTATACTTCATGTGAAATGCTTACTGATTTATCTGTACCAGGTGATTGTTATAAAGGAACTAACTTTTATAAATCACCAGTAGGGCAACATGGTACGATATTAACAACTAGATTAGAAAAAGGACAAACATATTATATTTTTGTAGGAGGTGCTACATATAGTGATAGTGGTATGATGAGAGTTAAATTTGATTATTATGAAGGTGAATTAGATAATGAAGAAGATGGATTAAGTGGAGGTGAAATCTTTGGAATTATTGTTGCTGTTCTTTTCTTAGTTGTTATATTACTTGTTATTGGATTATTTGTTGGATATATTGGATATAAGAAATATCAAAATAAACACAATAAATCATCATTTGGAACTTTCTAATTCAAATTATTTTTGTTCTAAAGTTGTAATTCTCTTTCATTATCTAAGAAACATGAATTAAAGACTTCTTAATTCAGCAATTCTTTTTTGATAGTTATAAATCCCATTGTATTCTGTTTGAATGTTTCCTCCCATTTTCCCATAAAATTTAATTGCGTCTTGTGCATTTTCATGTAAATCTTTCTTTAATAAAGCAAGTTCTTTTTGTAAAAAGTTTAATCTTAATTGAGCTGCATTTTTTGTTGATGCATTTATTTGTTCTTTCAATTCATCTTTCAATGATAAAATTTCTAGCTCAACTTCTTTTACTTTAATTTGTAGTATTTGAACTTGTCGATCTAAACTATACATTTCTGACATTTTATCATCTTTTTCTTCAAATGCTTGTAAGTCATAAAGAGTTTTAGGATTTCTAGGTATATTAACAGAGTATGTGAATGTAATAAAAAGGAGTGTCAATAACATAATGTTGATTTTCTTGATTTTTATTCTTTTTATTTTATTTTTTTATTTTTTTTTTGGTAAATCAAAACATCAAAATTAAATAATAAAAAAGA